GTTCGGCAATAGACCCTGAAAAACCAGGCAACGACGCAAACAACAAGTCCTCATCAGCCTATAAGTGCCCACTGCTGAGCAAAGGCCTCTTCTCACACAGAGAAATTTTGAGCATTAATCACAACGCTTGCTCAATGCGGGTTGGCGATTTCAAACTTATAATTAAAAATTGCCTGGATAAACAAACGATGTTTTTACCGTACGTCAGTGGTGTCTAAATAATCATAGAAAATACATATAATGAAAATTCTACGATTGTAATTTACATTTTATATCAAAGTTATTATTCAAAGATTTCTAGCCAAATGTATCGAATGTAGCAAGATTTATTCCTTACAAAAGTTAAATTGAGTAAACATGCAACTGTACCTGCCCTCAACATTTTCTTATAAACTTTTTGAGACATTTTCTTTTCCTTTTAATTCAGAAGCTGTCAACCTGATTCTCGCTTTGAGAAAGGATGAAGTTTGATAAAATGTATCGGGATCGACCCCCGAAGGTGACTGATCGATGTGAACAGAGTTGTAACATAAATAAAGTGGTTTTTTTGTAGTGGAAATATCTGTCGTAATATAGGTATAAAAATAATATACATCTATCTATATCTATAAAAATGAAACCCGTTTCGCGTTGTCACAGCATCACGTGTGAACGGCTGAACCGATTTCGATAATTCTTTTTTTAAGATGTTCGTTGAAGTCCAAGGATGGTTCTTACGGCGAGAAAAAAAAAAGAATAATTGCCGGGAAACCCCTAAAAACAGCCCTTTTCTTTTTCACATACAAACGTTTTCTAACTAAAACGTAGAATCAATTTGAGGTTTATTGCTGTTATACATAAGGTTCATATTAAATAACAAGCACTCACTGTTATCTAAGAAATTAGTGAAAGAAGAAAAGGTGTGTTCCTAACGTCAAAAAGTAAATTTGCACTTTCTTACCGCTAAACAAAGTTCAAATTCAATCATATCTATCAAAACAGTGTGCGCGTGTGCTTTGGAGCTGGAGCACAGAATTCGTCGTTTGAGGATTTAATGTCGCGTTCCGAAAACAAAAAAAAAGCGATCGCGCAGAAAAAAAAACATTGGTATGGGTAAAAAACACAAATCTATACTTATATATATTATTTTATTATTTTGTTTGTTCTTTCCTTTCACGGGACCACAGGGTCCCGGACCTTTGGAAGGCATACGAGGAGCCGAAGCCAACTCGCAGAGGCCTGTTGAACAATTTTAATCTAAATGTGATGGGACATCAGCCGGCAATTATCCCTGTATGCACTATAAAAGTGCACCCAAGGACAATCCCCGGTTGATGCAGGACTATTGTAAAATGTGGTAACAATTGAGAGGGTTATGGGTATGGGTTGCTATGCACTAATGGATGAAAACTATGGAAATACTATGGCCCCTGCCCTTGACCAATATTGATACATACGGATAAACAGGCAGGGGGTGACTGGCAAACTCAATTAATGGGCCCCCGGAAACGGCCGCTTGCATGTAGCGACACGGGGGCAACATACGTTGAGCTGCTTGGGGAAGGAAAGGCATCCCACGGCTATCAGAGCAATCCCGGAAGTACGGTCAAGACCCCTACCAGCACCTTACTGAGATACATCCTTCCCCCGAGTCTCCTTCAACTCCTACTCTTGCGAATCTCCACTCAAGCCAGCCAATTAAGGCAAGAATGAGGTAGGAGGGCTTGTTCTTCATTAGTGTTCACTCCAGCTTGTCACGAGGACTAACCGGAGAGAGAAGAACAAGACACCTCCCGGGAGTCAGGTCCGTGGGGTCGCCACTGCCCAACAGCTCGCCACAAGCTGCCTTGCGGATTAATTATTATTATTTTATTATTATTATTTGTATGTCTTTACCAATCACGGGACCACAGGGTCCCGGTCATTTGGAAGGCGTACGAGGGGCCGGAGCCAACTGCGCAGAGGCCCTTTAGACAACTTTAATCTAAATGAAATGGGACACTAACCGGCGACTATCCCTGTATGCACTATGGAAATGCACCCAAGGACAGTCTCCGGTTAGTGTAGGACTATTGCGGATAATGGAAACAAGGGATAAGACTATGGGTGTGGGTTGTTATGGACTGGTATGATGGGAACTATGGAAGGACTATGGCACCTGCCGAAACAATGTAATAAATACACGTAAAAATGGCAGGTGGAGACTCGCCAACTCACCGACCGGGCCCCCGGGAATGGTTGCTAGTAATAGCAACAGAGGGACAACGGAAATGTGAGTGGCTGAAGGGTGAAGAAACTGCCACCAGCTTTCTACTCAGATCATCTGCATCTGCCTAAGCATCCTGCATCACTGGCCCACTCGCCGCTTACGAACAGCTTCCACCCTCCGAGCAGGATCACTACTCTCGCGACTCCGCTCTGGACGGCCAATGAAGGCAAGCCAGAGGTGGGAGACCTGTTCCTCGTCATCGTCCACTCCGGCCAGCCAATGAAGGCAAGCCGGAGATGAGGAACGGTGACTTCTCCCTGGAGCAATCGGGATGATGGTAGCCCGCGGGATCGCTAATTCCCGTCACCTTGCCTCAAGGTGCCCTGCGGGCTCACCTCGCCTCAAGGTTATTATTATTATTATTATATTATTATATAATATTATAAAGCTATAGAGTTTGTTTGTTTCTTTGTTTGTTTATTTGTTTGAACGCGCTAATCTCTGGAACTACTGGTCCGATTTGAATGATTCTTTCAGTATTGTGTAGTCCATTTATCGAGAAAGGTTATAGGCTTTATTTTGTTTAATTCGAAATTAGGGATCTGTAACAAAATTGCTATTTTGTAACACAAGGAGTAAAATCGAAAACCTATTTTTGCGTGCGCTGCAAAAACTATTGACAATAGAACAAAATGATGTACTACGGGTTTGTAGATTCTATTAAAACCTACAAAAAAGTCCGCGAAAACATATATATATATAGCTAGATATATATCTAGCTATCATGGTTTAATCGCAATAACCGATTTTGTGTTCAAAATAATTATTAAATCGTCTGAAGGAAAAAAAGTGTTAAATATGTATCGTAATATTAATCTTTATCGAAATGAAGCATTATGTTATCAAGAGTATCTATTTATTTAGAAGTAAAATACTTATTTCCTCTCAATCTCTCAATCGTTTAAAAGTTATCATGTGTGTAAGATGTTAAGAGTTGGTGACCTTATTGAACACAGTTAGAGAGACTTATGGAACATAGATTTTTTTATCAACATAAAATCCTGTAATAATATTTTTCGTAATATATTTGTAGATGATTGTAAGTATAAGATCTTTGAAGAGTATAAGAAATACATTTCTAAACTAACTCTGCTAAGGAAAAGGAAATCCAAGGAATAACACACACCTTAATTTGGATCCATTAGAAATGTCGTTGCGGAAGCCATACGATGTAAATGAATTAAATGCGTATATTACTGTAAATGCACCCAAGTTCTTTAATGGCAAACAATAGTGTTATGCACAGTGTTGTTTTAATGAGGGAAAAATATTTTTTTTGTATGCTCCAGGCGGAACCGGCAAAACGTTCATTAGGTACTAATATGATATTAGCAAAAGTAAGGTCTCAGGGAAAACTAGCTTTGGCAGTAGCGTCATCTGGAATCGCTGCTACTATATTAGCTGGCGTACGCACAGCTCATTACACTTTTAAACTAACATAACCTAACCGTTTCATTACAGAAAGAGCGTGTGCTCTATTCGTAAAAATGGCCTTTTAGGCAAAGTTTTGTAAGATGTCACTTTAAAATCTGGGATGAATGTACCATAATTCATAGAGCTCATGTGGAGGCTCTAGATAGGACTATTAGAGATATTAGAGGCTGTGATAAAATCATGGTTGGGATTACTGTCATGTTTGCTGGGGATTTTCGGCAAACTTTACCAGTAGTAGTAAGAGGAACTAAAGTAGACATTGTAAAAAATTGCCTTAAAAGTTCTCTATTATGGAAATTTGTTCATACCTTAAAACTATTTACGGACATGAGAGCATATTTGGGAGGAGGTAATACAAATTTTCCTTTGAAGTTACTTTTAGTTGGAGACGGAAAAGTACCTTATTTTGAAAATACCTCTTGATCAAGATTTAGGAGAAAAAGTGACTAGCATTGAGAGTTTAATATCAAAAGATATCGTCGAAATAGAAAATAAAGATTATCAATGGAAGTGTTAACGAGCAATATTGGCGACGAGAAACAGTAGTGTTGACAAAATTAACGATTTAATTTTAACTAAACTTCCAATGGATCAAGAATATGCAGTCCATTATCTACAGGGATTTTTTAATTCTTTAAACCCGAGGGGCATGCCATCACATTCTCTCAAGTTTAAAATTGGTGCCGCAATTATTACACTTAGAAATTTATGTAACGGGAGACTTTAGGTTAAATTTGTTCGCAATAACGTGATCGTTGCAATAGTTCTGACTGGTCCAGTGGTTGGCCAAACAGTATTTATACCTCGGATTCTAATGATTCCAAATGATTTGGCTTTGCATTTTAATCCAATTCAGAAAATAAAACGAAAAATATAATTTACTCAGAAGTACTTTGAAATGATATTTTAACCCGGTATAAAGTGGACGGACACTCCCGCCTGTAGTCGTAATTCTTATTCTGGCTGAATTTCGAACAGATAAACAGCTATTGCTTACTTGACTTATACAATTTAACTTAATCTATATTTTTCTTAATATTTGTTTGTTATGAAGGCGGTAATCTCGGGAAATACTGATCTGATAATTATGAAAACTGTTTAAATATTCAATAGTCCATTTATTGAGGGAGGCTATAATAAAGGCAATATTTTATCTCGGTATTTCCACGGAAACGACAAAAACGCGGGTGAAACCGCGGGGCACAGCTAGTAGGTATATAAAAATATTATATTTTGTGATTGTGATTTCTAAAATCAATTTAGGCTGTTATTCAAATATTTGCAGACATCAGAGTGGGCGAACCATGCTTCGGCACGAATGGGTCGGCACGACCGGAGTGATACCACGGCCTCACAGAAGACCTGCGTGAAACAACCACAGCGTGGTGTTTCGCCGTGTGAGTGAGGTTACCGGAGGGCCAATCCTTCCCCGCCCGCAATCCCTCCTCAATCCCTAATCCCTAAAAGGTCGGCAACTCACTCGTAAGCCCTCCGTTGCCGAGTAGACGGATTACCTGATGATGGTAAGCAATCAGCGCCGCCCATCGCGCCACAACAGAGGAGTCACGAGTGCGTTGCCGACCATTTGGACATTTCGGAATTCAGGGATTGGGGAGGGATTGTTTTTTACTATCTATCCATGTCAGAATAAAATATAGTGGTCTAATTCTAAGAAACTTGTTTTGCAAAGTCTGATAAGCTTTATAAAAAAATCTTAACGATCGAATGTTCCATTTTTTAAATTCAGTTTTTCGCATTCTGCAATATATACAAACAACAAAACAATGGCGACGACAACACATTATTTTCCATTCAAAACAAGTCAAAAGTTTCTCATACACACCACGACTATGTCCATGTTTAAATGAAACGCGAATGGTTACCAAGAGCTTTTAAACTTCATACGTTTTCCAGTGCAAGTTGCCACTAAAGTTATAAAATGTTGCCATATATTAATTTACGTTTTGCCGACTCGGTTCTGTTAAAAATAATTTATAATTTGAAGGTTAACTATTTTTTGTGACTTGCAATAATTATAGGTCTGTCTATTTTTTTTTTTGTTTGTTTGAGTGGAAAATCATTAGACATTTTGTCACAAGTGGCAGAGTCAGACTCTTGTTGAATAAAACCTACCTCGTTCCTTCACCTGCTCTATTTTTTTTAAATTAAGTTTTGGACATACTTGTATTGACCAGCCCTTTTACGAAGATGAAAATCGGGTGAAAATTTGTTGTTTACTTCCGTAAAGATTTTGTTTTATAAATTAATGTTTCTTACAAAAGCTATACAAAAAATAATTTACCAACATAAAAAAAAACCATTCCATATACAAATTTTATTTATAGATAAGATAAAATATTTATAGAATACATGGTTGTCGATCGAAAGAATTGACAGTTTATTAGGTCGCCTGAGCTTAAAATATCACAATCGTATCTCTAAGATGTCCGCTCTCACCTATAAAATGTTTTATAAATATAGCCTTTCTGCACATAATAGACTTGACAGTTTTCCTTTTAAATCGGTGTAGGAGTGAAATATAAAGTTTTATGGACTGCCGGTTAGATACTTTTATTCTGACATTTTGAATATGAATATTTTTATAGAAGCAGTATTTATGATGCTTTTAAAATAACGATTATTTGAATTATAATGATCACGATGTGCGAACATTAGTAAATGTAGTTTATGCAAATACTTATCTTATGTTTTTATAATAACTATCGTGAGACATACTAAATTAACTAAAATTCGCGGGTTACTCACGTGTAAATGTTGAGAAAAGCTCTAGCGCAGCCTACTGACGTCGGCTGCGTGACGTCGCCGCGTCCGCGCACGCTGCTCATGAGGAAGAACCCCTCTGTGGTTCGAAACTAGTAGAGCTTTTCTCAACATTTACACGTGAGTAACCCGCGAATTTTAGTTAATTTACTTATCTTATGTATGTATGATGTAGATCAAAATTTAGACGAAACGATATCTTCTTTTGGATAGTGTAATGAAACGAAAAAAATATATATTCTATTATTATCTTTATATTCTTATTTATAAATCTTCAAAAAACAGTTTTAAATATGTGTCATAACAAATACAGAGCCAAATGTTTTGTACGTATTTAAGAAAATACTATAAATTACATAAACACTATGTACTACACTCGTCATTCTAAATAATTTCTAAAAGCCAAATCGTTTATTTCAATTCAAAAATTAGGCACTTTTTGAAGGTGTACAATAGGGATGTCTCCTGGGTTAAAACAACAAGATTCTAATTAGTGCTTCAGTTTGATTATATAAAAATACTCGATACGTATTTTTTTATTTGTCCATACGAATAATATTGACAAAGATACAGCACATTCAAATTCAGGAGTAGGGGCTCGTGACGTCGCTCTTTCGTAAAATTTTACGAAATAATGACGTAGCGCGAACTTTCGCCGCTCTGTAACTTCGTTATTTTAAGTTTTAGAAGCAAAAGAAAAAAATACATATCTACTATTTTCTGGCGTTCTAAAAGATGGACTATTTATTATTTTGTAGTCATCATCCCTATAATACCAACAAAAGCCACAAACATATGATTAACAAAAGAACTTAAAATTAATTAAACAAAGAGGGCGTGTGTATCCCTATGGATTACAAAGGGGACCGCGTACACGAATTGTTGTTTCCTGGTGTCTAGACGAGCGATTTCTAAAGTAAGGTAACTACTTTTAGTTTTATGAAGCCTTTGACTGCCAATAGAAAAATGTTGAAGGCTCCTCCGCTAAAGGAGGTCACCGGTGACCCCCATGGCGCTTTAATGATATGTACACAATTCGCTGAAGCTATCAAGTACTAAACAGCCAATACCGTAAAACTATCTAATTTTTTATAAGCGAAATTGACAGGTTCATACAACCGTCTAGTCAGCACAATCCCAGGCCGTATTGCATCTAGAGATTCTCATCATTAGCAATGGCATTGCCTATGCCACATAATATATATTTAAAGTAATGACAAGTTTACCTTTTAATAACATTCGGGCAATAAAAGTGTTATGTGAGAGAGCTGTGCTTTGGACAGATTTAGCTGAAGAGATACGACGTCCTACAGAGAACCGGTGGGAAACAACGTGTCAAGCCGAATCTATGGTAGAAGTATATTTTTTTTGGAAAATTGTCATTAAAAACAAATAACACATTTAATTATTGTAACACAACTATTTTAATATTATGTCAAAACCTATTTCAAAAAAGTGAACTTCATCGTTTACATTGACTCCGCAATTCTATACTAGATGGCGTTGTGCGTATGACGTCATATTTTAGATGGCGGTGTTAAGATTCTCCGCGACTTAATGACCTCCGCCAGTACATTTGTGTTTGAGTGAAGACTACTATCAAAGTGCACTCTCGGGCTACGTCCTATTTGGAATAGTCACTTGAGACTCCTCTGTTTAGCAAGTCGCGGACACTAATATACTTTTATCTCTCAATAATTGTATATTTTTGGATTAGAGGACTGCATCCGCCACCTTCGTCCAAGCGGAAAAGGTTGTGTGGGACTGCGCCTATTTTATTTTACCAAAATATATACGTTGACAACATCGACCTTTCTTTCCTTTACGAACGCGTGACGACACCGGAACTACAACCCCCTTACATTATTGATTTTTTTATAAATTTTAGATCCCTAAAAGGCTAACAACTCACACAATTACTGTGTCCTTTCGTGTTGCTGGTCTCCACGGAAATTGTCCTGGTTATTTGCCACCTTTTCCAAATATACAAATATGTTTAAAACAATGTTTTACTTATGAAATTATATTAGGGTTATGTTCATCATAAAATCAATCGCTCGTTTGCTCTAAGCAGGAACAAATTTAGCATAGCACACGTTGCTTATTTATCTTTTTTAGTAGCAATATATTATTATAAATGTTTCTCCTAATTCTATCGACGTGCAATTAAAAGTTTTGATCCTTACAACTTAGATTAGGTGGTTCCTGAGGGATTTTGTTACAAGTTAACGTCGTTGTGGGTAAAACTGTATCTTGAAGATATTTATTGGATGCCAACACACAAGTCGGCGGTTTTTCTTTAATAGGATAGGTACCAAGCAAATATTGGAACTTTGAAGGACTTCCACATATTATCAGCGCCTGTTACGTTATAAGTGACTTAGTTATATTTAGCTTAAGACTTTATTTTGATTGTTTATTGAACTTGCTTATCTTTTGGAGTAGGTAGTCGAATTGAACATATTTTTTATGTTGCATTTTCCAATTATTAAGAAGCGATGTGGGCTATCAAATATCATGCAACGAATAATTGAAGATGAGTAGCAAACGAAGGTGATAAAAGACGTGGATCTAGAGTGTGCATGATAAAGTCGAAAACGGATAAACCGATTAAGATGAAATTAGCCTTAAAATATTCAGATGAGTTCAGAAGAAGAAAAATTGTACGAAAGAGATTCAGTAATACCTCCTCTACCCACCAATAAAATATCTCCCATATTTAGACTTTGACACGGAATAATTATATTAAAAGATACTTTTAATTTATTTACAATTAACAACATAAACTTCTAGAAAGACACAAAAAAAAATAATAAATCAGAAATAGAAATATATTTTTTTATTTATTCCTAATGATTACAAGACACAGAATTTTAGTCTAAAATTAAAAATGTATAAGTTTGCGCTGTTTAATTGTGTGTAATGTTCAATTTGATTTTAATCTTATTCTGTTTTAATGATATTTTAATTTAATAATTATTAATATTACAATATAACTATTGTTTCCACGATAGGTCTTCTAAAATAGGAGGGCGACACGACTTTTAAAAATGCATTTATTCTAATAAAATGAATAAATAAATGAAAATTAACCATAATATTTTAGATAATATTGGAAAATAAATCATTAGCTCAGTTAGTTTTAGAAGTAGTTTCAATCTTTTAATAGGTCTTTACCTATGAAATTGCCGTTGTGCAGTACTGGCCATTTCAAATCAATATAGTTTTTGTTAGGCTAAGGCTAATTAATTTTGTTTTAAAAACATGGGATTCTTTTTCCAAAAGTAGTCCTCACAGAAAACCGGCGTAAAACAACCACAGCGTTGTGTTTCACCGTGTGAGTGAGTTTACCGGAGGCCCAATCCTTCCCCTTCCCCAATCCCTAAATCTCCTAATCCCTAATCCCTAAAAGGTCGGCAACGCACTCGTAACTTCTCCGTTGCGGGTGTCCATGGGCGGCGCTGATTGCTTACCATCAGGTAATCCGTCTGCTCGTTTGCCTATGAAATATAAGACCTATTACATAAAAAAGTAGTCATTGTTTATTGATTAGTGTTACATTTTCATCGCACTTCAAATCAAAAAAATCGTTTAAATTTTTTCATGCAAAACGG